AAAAAAAAAAAAAAAAAAAAAAAAAAAAAAAAAAAAAGAAAGAAAGAAAGAAAGAAAGAAAGAAAGAAAGAAAGAAATTGTGAGCCTGTCATTACCAGATATAATTCTACAATGAATTATTGCTGGTTTTTTTTTTTTTTGATGGGGTGGCTTAGTGCCCAGCCTCAACCTTCACGAGGGCACATGGGACTCCTCAAGTGGGCAGTGCCCTGGCCCTTTTCATGTACCTAGTATTGTAATGTGGGTTTCTTGTTTTTAAATTTAGTATTGTATTTATTTTTAAAAAGATTTATTTCCTTTTATTTTGTGTATATGTGTGTTTTGTCTGAATGTCTGTCTATGCAACATGTATGCCTGGTGTCCAGACAGGCAGTTGTGAGCCACTGTATGTGGGTGCTGGGAACTGAACTTGAGTCCTCTGCAAGAGAAATATGTGCTCTCAACTGCTGAGTGCTCTCTTCAACAGCTCATAAAGTTAGCATTTTATTAAAGAAACCATTTAAAATATAAGTCTAAGGCTGTGTTCCTTTTAAATACTTCGCTGATAACTTGAATTAGTTTTATTTTTGTCTTTTAAACCAGCTTTTAGTTACTTAAGATATAATATTTTTGCTTAAAAACACACACAGGCAAAAAACAAAACAAACACAAAAAACAAAAAAACAAAAACCCTCCAAAAGTTAACAAATAATGAGGATGCCCTTGTTCTTGGTCCAAATCCATCTCTTCCCTTTGACTGAGCTCATTTTTCCAAGCTCACTTCACACCTTTTTCTGTGCGTTTGCAAACACACCTGCTCCCACAGGAAAGAAGCTGCATTGGGTGTGTCCGGATGGAGATGGTCCAGCTGTCGGCATCTCTTAGCAGCTGTCACTCATTCCAGCTGTGTCCTGGATGTTCTGTGGTGGTTCTATGGCTCTGCTTGGCTTGTGTTAGCTGCCAGGTACCTAGAGCTCCAGTGCTGATGCCCATGAGGGTTACATATGTTTGCTGCAATAACGTTCTTGGTACTGGTCTCCATGTGCATGTACATAAGATATTCTTCCCAAAACTTTGCTCAACGGAATTATTCACTCCTAAAGACACTGTCAAGTCCAGCTCCGAGACATCTGTACTGGTCCATAGGCCCACCAACAATGAACACAACTTCATGTCACTCTTGCTCATGTCTCCACACTAGAAAGCTGAGAACGCTAATAAGTAGACAGATGACAAAATTAAAGTTGAAAACCCATTCCACAAATTGGAAGGTTAAACTAAAATTAACAGTGTAGATCTAAGAAAGGTTCTGCATCTAAGGTTAAAAAAAACGGTCAGGGGAACATGGCGGACACCTAGTTAGCAGAGACCAAGAGTGGCTGCCACACCTAACTACGCAAAGGGCTAACATGAATCAGCTCCATTACTGTTGTTGTGTTTCCAGGGCTGGTTATGAACTTGCTGAAGATGACCTTAAATTCCTGATCCTGCTGTTCCCACCTCCCACGTGCTGAGATTACAGGCTTAAGCCAGCACTCTGAGGTTGATGTGGTGCTGGGGGTTGAACTCACGGCCTCTGGCAGGCTTGACGAGCACTCACCAACTGAGCAACATCCCCAGCCAGTGCAGAAATACAATCAGCTTTACAGAGAGGGGAGCCACACTGCCGCCATGCAGGATGAAGAGCATGCACAGATTCCTGTGTACCCGCAGAGTCTCCTTCAGAGACAGAGTGATGCTGCACAGAGCAAGAGAAAGGAACCCTCCTCCTGCAGGCCTCCAAGTAGAATCCGCAGTCACCACAATCCTTCCACAGCTTAGCTTTTCTGGACAAAAGGATCCTGACCACCGCAAGTGTCTTCCATCTCTATAGCTCAAAGTTCTGTTCCCTGAGAAATAGTCCTGCTTTTCCAGACATGTCCCAGACATCAGTAGCTTCACCCTGACCACACATGGGCAATCAGTGATGCACACCAGGCTCAGGAACATGACAAACCCTGACCATCCAGACGGGTGATCATGCCCAGTGTTTGCGTTGACACAGGAGAAATGGGAACTTTTTCTTTCATCACTGAGGAAGCACTGGCTTTGTCGGAAGTCCAAGTTTACTTTCCCTCAGCCAAAATTATGACTTTGTTTGTAACTTTCCAGCCAGTGACCTCAATCCTGACCTCCAGCAGTCACCCACTCCCCACCGGAATGGAAAAGGTCATTTAGTCACCCCAGCCTGGAGTCCTCAGGAGAACACAGCATTCCAGCTCAGCGCAGTGTTCTGAAAGGCAATGTCTTCTCTCAAAGTATCAGGAGAAACACAGAGTTATTTTTTAAAATTTGGAATAAGATTTGGCTACATTTGAAAATTTCGTATTTTTTTTTTTTACAATGTTCTTCTTAGGTAGGAAAATACATGTCACTAAAGTGTCCAAAACAATAATATACTGTCTGGAAAGTTACTGTTTCCATCAGTGATTTCTTAATGAAATTATAGTAAAAGTTCAATAAGAGCCATAGGCTAGGCTCATGCATGTAAGAGAATAAATAC